TGATGATGGGTGAGGGTACAGTTAACTGGACCGATGCCGAGGAAACTTGGTCATATGGGATAATGCGTAGAGAGTCAGGTGTGCCGATGAGTAGATGGCCGCGGTAGCGTTTGAGTTTGTTGAGGTTCGCTGTGAAGGGTGCTGCGTGGGGTTGGGATGCATCACGTAAGAGGCAGGTCGTGGAGGAAAGGGTATCTATGACGACGAAGGGGCCCTGCCAGGGGTAATGGAATTTGGTTGATACTCCCCGCGGAGGTACGGGGTTGTGGTGCACAACCCAGTTACCGACTTGATGTGTGGTCCTAGTCGAATGCCGGTCGCACTATGTGTTTTTGGTGAGAGGGTGAGATGCCGATAGTTTCGTGCGCTGCATTGTGGGCGGTTTGCAAAGTTTTGTGGAGTTGAGAGGCGTAGGTGGTGACCGAGAACGTCTACTGGGTGTTGGATATCGACTGGCCTACCAAATATTTCTAAAAACACCTAAGAATAAGAGAAAAAGTCAATGAGCACGAGGCCAACTAGCGTCAGAATTCCAGGATTCTGTTCTGATCACCATCTCCGTTATCTAAAAAGGGTGTCAAGACACTGCGCCAATCCCTTATATATATACATATATGTTGAAGGCAGAGGCGTTCTTTGGGAAAAGGTTCTTTATTGCGTGAATTTTCGACGCCGGTTCCCCAGGTCGTCGTCAGACGCAGACTGAAAGTAAATGTGCCGAAAACAGTTAACATCTGGCAGTGCACATGAAAAAATCGATAATCGTTCGCGTTTGCGCCCGTGAGCGGCCGCTATTTGCGTCATTCCGTCCCGATTGGCTCTCGTCTCTTCCATTTCTCCTTGAGACTTTTGTACGCGACGTCCAACTCGATGTGACGGTTGATGCACGATTCATTCGAGTGCATGGCCTCAAGGAACTCTCGGCCTTTCTTGAAGGGGCAGGCACCGACAATCCGTGTTCTGTCCCAAGCAAACGTATGCCCGGTGTCCAAGCTATGCATGGCTACTTGAGACAGGTGGTCTCGCCTCTTTACTGCAAGTTGGTGTTCGTGAATGCGTGTAGAGGCGGATTTTCCTGTTTGACCACAATAAACTGCATCACAGGCCTCACATGGGATCTTGTAGACGGCTTCCTTTCTATCCAAATAGTCGACCCTATCCTTAGGATGTACTATCTGAGTACGTAGTGTAGTCGTCGGTCTGTGTGCCACCCGAATCTGGTGTCTCTTTAGGTGCCTTTCCACGAGTTCAGACACGTTTTTGATGTAAGGGAGGGTTCGCCATGTATTTGGCTTCGGTGTCTGACTGGAGGTTCTTTGTTCCCTTTCCTTTGACTCTTTCTGTCTCATGCATCGGCGCACAAAATCCTTGGGGTACCCATTTCGGGAAAATAATTCACACAAGTAACTTAGTTCGGCTCGGTAGCCTTCTTCGTCCGAGCAGTGTGTTTTTGCCCGATTAAGCAGACAGTTGACCGTGCTCCGTTTGTGGGAAATGGGGTGGTTGCTCTCGTAGTGTAGAATGATTTCCGCATAGGTTTCTTTGCGGTACACCGATGTGCGCAATGTCCCGTCGGTCTTCCGCTGCACGAGAACATCCAAAAATGGGAGTTCTTTGTCAACTTCTTTCTCGAGTGTGAATTTAATCCCCGGCATTGTTGAGTTAATGATGTTGTGGCGAGGCACTGATGAACTACGGTTCGATGAAGTGCTTATGACCCATCTGGTAGGCCTCAGTGGTGGACCGACTGCGCCAGGTGCGTCTGTGCGCATGTTTGTTTTTCTGGTCTCAGCTGTTGGTGGTCAGGGTTATGATTGGCTGAATGAAGGCAGAATAAGCCCGAAACAGTGCTGTATCAATCTACCCGCATTCTCTGTCGTCCCTCCTCGCTGCTATTCTGACTTGGTGGCCATCGCCCGCATTCGCGTTGACCTTAATTTTCGTGCCGGTTTGCTAGTCTTGATTGCATTCCTCTGACCGCGTTTCTCCCTTACGGCCGGAGTAGTAGTTGAGGCAACAGTATTATTGACTGCGCCTTCGTCAGGCCAGATTTGCGGTGTGGCTACGTGTACGCGCCAGCGAACCAGCTAGACATCATTGGGCAATAGCCCAGAGCACGGACCCCGATACCGCAGTAGTTTACGACCACCTGTTAAACCGGCGACACCGTCCTACGGACGATGAATTGCGTGGGTCGTCAGAAGAAGCACATATACTGCGGAGCCAATGGCCACGGCTGCATATTGACGAAGATATCCTTCTCATTAAGGACGAGAGCACAAAAACCGACAGAGTAGTAGTACCAGGCAGCCTCGTACACGGGGTCCTCACGGATCTACACAACGAGTTAGGCCACGTCGGACAAGCCAAGACAGAAGCCGCCACTCGGCAACGATTTTGGTGGCCCCATCTACGAGAACACGTCGCCACCTTCTGCAATACATGCACCACGTGCGCGACGTTCAAGGCACCTAGACAACTCCCACGTGCACCGTTGCAACCCATGCACACTAGCTTTCCGTTCCAGCGGCTGGGCCTGGACATCATCGGGCCCCTCCCCTTTACGACAACCGGTCATCGGTTCATACTGGTGATGGTGGATTATTTCACCAAATGGGCAGAGGCTGTGCCGCTATTACGACAGGACGCAGTGTCGCTCACCAACGCAATCTTTAACAACTGGATTTGCCGGTTCGGTGTCCCGTTGTCAATACATTCCGACTGCGGGGCTAACTTCGACAGCAAACTGCTGCAAGAGGTTTGTGACCTCCTCGATATCTACAAGACTCGCACCACTCCAGCACATCCCCAAGGCAACGGATTGGTTGAACGAACTAACCGTACCCTGAATCAACTGTTGAAGGCGTTCGCGGAAGACCATCACCCCCAAGACTGGGATAAACGACTACCCAGTGCCATGATGGCGTACCGTGCTAACACACACACGTCGACGGGCTACCCACCTTTCTTTATGCTAACCGGACGTCAATTTCGCCTTCCCGCAGATTCACGGTTCCCACAACCTGCCGCAAACGAATACGCACCAGATAGCTACGTTTGGCAGCTGCAGGATTTGCTACGCTCCACCTACACACTCGCACGTAACCACCTAGGAGCGGTCGCCGAACGACAGAAAACATACTTTGACCGTCAAGTCCACGGCAACCCTTACCAACTAGGCGATCTGGTTTGGCGTTTCCGACCAGTACCACCCTTAGGAACGGCGGCCAAGTTCTTTCACCCGTGGGAAGGACCATTTGTTGTTGTCGATGTCATACACCCCACCACGTATGTATTGCGCGATGCTTCACGCCCCGACGGACCCACCTTCACCACCCACTTCGACAAGCTAAAACCCTATAGAGGGCGACTACCCACCGCCACCGCGGACGTAACCCCCATCATTCCCCCACATTTAGTTCCCACCCCAGTGGTTGAAGAAACAGTGGACATGACCCAGCCAGACAGCCCTGCGGACAGGGCTCCATCTGAGGAGGGGGGTATGTAAGAACCGAAAAGGCAAGTTTGTTTAAAAGAGAGGAAGAACGGGCGAGCGGGAAAAGAAAAGGAGGCGGGAGGTTTCGTGCCATGGTTTGAGTGCGCCTTCTCTCTGGTGTTTCAGGTGAGGACAGCGAACGTGAACAAGGAAACACCCAAAACCCCGTGGATGTCGTACCTCCGAGGCCACCCCCCTGACGAGCAAGTGTTTCCTCTTCCCTCCTCTACCCCCTGAGACTTTCCACGTTCTTGATCCCTCCCTTGTCCTCTCGTTTTCGTATCTCTCCCTTTTCCAATATATCGTTCCTGTTACATTCTCTTTGACTGTTCGAACCACTTCTGTACGTGGTGTCGTTGTCTGGTCGTCTGATGGCAAGATCTAAGCCCAACCGTTCAGGAAAGGTGAAAACGGCCCCGTCCCCATCTCCTTCTACCGCGTCAGTCGACGTAAGTCCGAAACCAGACTCCCAACTGAAACCCCGTGCGGTCCGCCTACTACAGGCTCTCCCGTGTTTGGATTCACGTCCGGCCTGACTTCGCGCTTGCTCTTTAGTTCGTTGAGCTGCGTCCGGAGGGCTTGGTAGGCTGTCGGAAGGGCGACACAACGGTTTATTGGGGGTGTCTCCGTGTGCCAGGCCTCGATCGTTTCCCTGGCTACGCGGTCATTGCTTCGACCCAGAATTTTGGCGTTCTGGTAGGCAAAAGTGTGTCCAGAGTCCGCGCAGTTTTCCGCCACCAGAGACAATGGGTCCATTCTCCTCACTGCCCGCATGTGCTCGTTAACGCGGGTTTGTAACCGTTTGCCCGTCTCTCTGACGTAGTTTGCTTGGCAAGAGTTACACTGGACCCGGTAGATGACATTTGTCGCCTCGCCTCGTGGCAGGGGGGCCTTCGGTCTCATAACCAAATGTAGAATGGTTGAGTCTGGTCGATGAGCGATCCCGATCCCCAAGGGCCTTATGAGGCGGGAAACTGCCTCAGAGACGCCGTCGATGTATGGCAATGCACGCCAGAATTTTGGCTCTTCTGTCACCCGATTTTGGCCTGGTTTAGACTGCCTGCTGCGCTCGATGAAGTTACGGGGGTATCCGTTGGCCATGAAAATGCGCTGAAGATAGCGGAGTTCTGTCCTTCTCTCCTCCGGTTCTCTGCAGTGTGTTTCTGCTCTACTGTAGAGAGTTCGCACACAGCTGCGTTTATGAAATAACGGGTGTTTACTGTGATAGCTTAGGATTTGGCGTGTGTTGGTAGCCTTCCTGTACACCGTCGTTTTTATGTGCCCGTTGGGTTTTCGATGGACAAGAACATCCAGAAACGGCAGCTGGTTGTTGTTTTCCGCCTCCATCGTGAATTGGATGTCCGGAAAGACGGAATTCAGGACACTTTGAAATTCCTCGATCATTTATCGCTTGATGATGACGAAGGTGTCGTCGACGTACCGAGTCCAAATCTTTGGCCTGTGGGTTGTGAAAAGCAGGCTCTCTAGTTTTTGCAGAACTGCCTCAGCGATGAAGCCGTAGAGAGGCGGTCCCATCGGCGTCCCCTTTATTTTTTCGTACTTGGTCCTCTCGAAGGTGAAGTACGTCTTCAGGCAGAAGTTGGACTAGATGTCTCCGCTTCACTGACCTGTCCGTCTCGTCATACTGCCTCTCGAGCAATTCGCTGACCGTTTCGATGACCAGGTCCCGCGGGATTGAAGTGAAGAGAGAGGTGACGTCAAATGACACCATGACCTCGTCTGCAGTGAGCCGTGTTCCCCTGAGCCGTTCCAGAAACCGAGTAGCTGAACAGACCGTTGTAGTTGCGCCTGAGGTGAGAGGCCTCAGGTGTCGGAACAGCCATTTAGCCAGATTGAATGTTGGCGCGCCGCGAAGTGACACGATTGGTCGGAGGGGGACATCGACCTTGTGCACTTTGGGTGATCCGGAGAATCTTGGTGCGGCTGCATCTGTTGGTTTAACGGCCAGTCGTACCGACTTGCTTATTACTTTGTTCGTTTGCATTTCAGCGAGCGTTTTGTCCAACTGCGTCAGCAGCTTCCTCATCGGCTCATCATCACATCGGAGGTAGGCCTGTCGATCATCCAGCAGGTTGTTAGCCTTCTGAATGTAGTCGGTCTTGTCCAAGACAACTGTAGAACGCCCTTTGTCTGCTGGCAGTACCACAATGCTCGTGTCGGCCCTCAGTTTCTTGAGGGCATCCTGTTCCGCTCTGGTGATATTTGCGCGTGGTTTGTGCGCCATCACCAAGGCGGTTACCTGTTGCCGAACGGGATGTTTTGTTTCGTCGGATTCCTCCGTTCGTTTGAGAATCGATTCCACTGTTGCCACGAGGTTGACCGGATCGGCGTCTGTGGTATTGAAGCAGGCCTCGTGACTCAGCACTTTTATTTGTTCAGGAGTCAGCAAAAGTAATCTTTCTATTTTGCGGATTTATTTTCATTTTGAAGCTTACTGTCGGCGTTTTATCCTCTCCACCGTAGGAAAGTCCAACTGACAACACGTCACGGTTGAAATCCTTGTTCCGGGAGCGTATGCAAAGGATGAGTTTGGCTTGTGTTTGACGAGCCAACACTACTCGATAGGGGCTAGAATGGGAGCCTCTAGGCATGCATCTGAGCGCTTCCCGAGTTATAAAACGAAAAGCACCTGTATTCACTCAATGGATTTAGAAACTTGGAAAGGAGGCATTGGAAATGTTTCAGATCTGCTGCATCACGCTCGTCGGACGTATGCCTGTCGACTCGGGAAACCTCTGAATCAATAAGGAGTGCGGTGTGATAAGCAATAGTCAAGGAAAGAGGGTTGTAGCAGTATAGTCATTAGCAGATAATGACGAACAGAGAGCTACTGAAACGATATATAGACAACTGCAGGAAGTAGGTGAATAAAGACATTTTCGTAAACGTAGCGTCACAGATGACGGTGACGCAAATATACGAAATGAAGGATTATAAAAAATACTCATACGCGTTATCGCTTATCTCACAGTTACTGCATCGCGGACCCTCAAAAAAATGCATTCTACGATTGCGGTGTTTGAGAGTTCAGCTTCAAGTCCACTAAACGGCTGATGGATGTTTTGGTGGACTGTTTTTGCACCGCCGATTTGAAATCGGGTTTGCTTTATTATAGATGAAGGCTCGTTCACCTAAGAGTAAAGCCACAAGCATAGGGGAGTTGTTGCACTCCATAAGTTAACTCGTTGAGTTTTATATCTTCTCCTAGCACGTAGAGATCCTTCGAAGCGCCAGATAAAGCCGGTTAATACCGAAAACTTGCTACTAGATGACTTGGACGATGAAAGCGACGACGAATATGTGTATGATGGAGAGGAAGCTGGTAAAGGAGAAAAAACAAACATTAAACTTCATTAATAGACGACAGCAGTAGCGGATCCAACGAGACGGACGAATCCGACGAGTCATCTTCGGAGCTTTCCGACGAAACTTCCAATGACGACGAGGAGGAAGCTGTTGATGACGCTGCCGTTGCTCATAATGGAGTTACAGAAAAGATGGAAGTGGACCCCTCATCTGATATGCACAAGCATGACACAGTTTGCAAGGGTGAATCTCACTCCGAAGTTTTAACATTAATAGATATCAGCAGTCCTACAATAGGCGCCGTGACCCGCGAAAAGAGCGCACCAAAACTCCCAGAGCTGATTTGCATGCTCTGTTTAGGTGATCAAAACAATCCGAACGATGAGATAATCGAATGCGATGCCTGCAAGATAGCCGTTCATGAAGGTATTCTGTGAACTTCGTCTATCTTCCTCAGACTGTCATAAGGTGTATGACGACGTTTTTCTGTCCAGCAGTGCCAGCTCCTCAGATACGGATCCGTGGTTTTGTGAACCTTGTCTGGCTGGCGTTGAAAATCCGGTACATACTTTACTTGTCTTATATAGCACTTAGCACTGTGAACTTTGTCCTAACCTAGGCGGTATTTTCAAACGCACCGACAATAATCGGTGGGTGCATCTACTATGTGCACTGTACACTCCCGGTGTGGCTTTCAATTACTCAGAAAGCTTGACAGAGGTATATCATCGGAAACGTTAACGTTGCGTAGGTAACACTTACGGAACTCCCCGCAAAAGAATGGTCATCAAGGGAGTGCTGCCTATGTGAAGACAAATTTTTTGCATGGACCGGAGTTTGTATAAGTTGTGATGCTGGACTCTGTAAAAACTACTTCCACGTCACATGGTTTGCATTAAGTTCCATAAGTTTAATGTTTGCAGTGCTCAGAAACAGGGACTTCTGGTGGAACCGGCATTTGAAGAGGTACTACCTTCCTGAGGAGTCGTCAATGTGTCTATCCTTAATCGCTTTTAGAACCCATCAGACCCATTTTTTGCCCAATGTCGTCAGCATACAGATAAGACCGTTGCTAAAGGCCGCCGTCGAAACTACCTGACAACTGTGAATCGCTGCAAAGTCTTACTTCAGATGGCCCAAGAACAACACAGGGGGAGTGCTTATGACATTACCGAGGAATTTGGTGTTTCTACCACTGAAAAGAGCCTATTTACTCTCTTGAATGAACGACTCAAGAGAAAACTGGAGTACTTTCGCAGCCTTTATCAACGAATGCTCGACAGGCGCGAGAAACCATACAGTTAGTGCTATTCTACTCCGCATTTTTCTCCTTTCATTCCTTTCACCCTGATTACTAAGCGTCCGATTCCATCACGCTTGTATTAGCTGGTGGTTTGCCCTAGTTTTATCTTGCCTAAGGCAGTTTACCTCGGTATTCCGTTTTCTCCGCAAGCTGCTCATTATATGTTTATTCTAGCTCGTCCAACCAAAGTTCCGTTATATTTGGAGAATTCGCCCGTCGCTATGCGCTTGTTTGCCGCAAAGGCATTGGCACTCGGCCTGCCCCTCGATTTTACGGGCAGTTCCGCCATGACAGAGGCTTCAAAGTCGGTCGCTCCCGGCTGCCCCGTCTTCCTACCTGACTTTGTTAGTTACGTTCTCGGTATGTAATTTGATTTTACATATTTTAGTACCGGTGATCTCCTTGCATAGTTACCCTGATAGAAGGTAGAATATCGAAGGTTAAGCAGAGAGTAAACAGCTTGTTTTTCGAATTTCAATGCCTCCCACCGACACTTCTGGGAGATTCCATCTTTTATATCTCCACAGTTAACACAGCTTTCACAGTTTTATAATTTCCTAATTTACTTAGCTGGAAGAAAAAGGCATTGAATTGCGCACTACCGACCCATGAACTTTTTCGTATTGCAGATCGCGAGAAGCGAATTGAAGAATTGGTTAAACTGCTATCGACCCTGGAGTCCACTCAGCGTGAACTACAGCTCTCGGACGCCAATGTCTCCCATAACTACAATTCTGTATGCTGTCAACTGCCTTTTCCAAAACCTCTAAATATGTGCTAATAGAAGGCATTGAATAATGCAATCGCTATAAATGTAGCTGAATAATTCCATGTTACTTATTCAAATCGCCTAACTGTCGATCATATAGAATCCCAGGTATAAATAGTCTTGACGCCTTCTTATTGAACGAAATGCTGATGCATCCAAAACTGCTTCAATGTGCTGTTCAAAATCCGCATTTACCATCACTTGTGTTACCACGTGTCTGCTATCGGCTTTTCCGAGATACATAACGCCTGTGATGTAGTTACATTGTAGTTGGCAGTAGAACGCTGTACAGTTACTTCCAACCGCACTGGTAGGAACCGGCCTCGGTTTGATCTTAGCACAACTTTCAAAGCTTCTTTATAATATCTATGGAGGCAGTGTCCGTAATTAACGTTTTCTACGATTTCTCGCTAAAGGAAATCTTTTGTAAGCGCTCTAGTATGCCAATCAGCTCGTTTTGTTCCCCGTTTTCCAGTTTTCAGTCTTTTTCATACTATTTCGTCTTTTTTATAGTTGTCCACAAGGCTAGCTGAACTGTCCACAAAGCTCAAGGCAAATAGATCGGCTGCTGAGGGCCTCATCAATGGCTTATCCAAAATCTGTCAGGTGAGTTTTGCCCGCGGTTGATGAACATATTTCGTTGAAGTCAGAAATAGGCCACTGTTGCAGCCTCCCGCGTTTAGTAACATTCTTGCCTTCAAGCAGTCCCTATATTTCCACTCCCGACCCTTTTATTTGGTCTTTTCTCATTGCGCAGATAACATTTATCTGGGTTCGGTATCGATTTTGGTACATGCTCCTTAACTAGTGGGTAATGAGACTCGGTAATGCTGTCTTCAGAGCTTTTTCCATCCCTTCAGTGCCTTGCCAGTTGAATTATAATTGGCCCGCATCATTTATACAAATGTCAAAACATGGGTGGATTGATTGGCCATGTTCACCGATGTAATTACTTTGTTTATTAAAAATAGAAAAAAACGCGAAGATTTCAGTCACTGAGAATTCAGTTTAGAGACAAGGTCGATTTCTCCTATGCTTTACGAAAATATGCCTTTAAATAAGAGTTGTGTCCGACGCCTCCCCGCCACCCCTTGATGGTATTTCGTCGTCTTTATAACTACCATATTTTTCAGAAAATATGAGCACACCGGCGGAGTAAAATCGTTGATCCACCCTCGTAGCCCATTCTGTTATGAACGTCGAGACGTCGATCTGGCAGCCCTATCGGATATTGCCAATTAAGCTTGGCATGCTCAGTTAAACAACTGTTTGCCACAGTGCCGCTGTGCAACAGATTTAGCTACGGTCGGTGAAAGTTTTTAGTTCCCTCTGAAACATGTTCCGTGCAGCCATGAGCAGAATAAATCAAGCCACATGGCACCTACTACATTAGGTGTCCGGACTCGTGATACATAGACTGCAGTTTGTAAACGCAATTCCCGTTAGAAGGAATACTTACGTGAGGTTTCAATGCTCATTAGCATGTAGTGCAATCCAAAGGCATTTCATATACACTAGGATACTGGCTTTCCAATGGTGGCCTCTTAAGTACTATGCATTTTCCATTAATTTTTGATGCCTTTACGTAACAGAGCATCCGATGGAAAGTATGCACAAAATCGTTCCCTCTTAGGAAATTATCGTTTCTCTGATTTTAGTGTCTCAAGAAGAGACATCTCTCGCATTTAGAAATATACCTTGGAAAGGCTTCGAGACCGCGAAGTGTATTTCCAATTTTTAACACCACAGTAACTATTCCATGAGTCAGATCACCTACCTGGCCCATAGTAAACACTGAAAGCAGCCTCAAGCTTTGATCTATGTGTTTTTTAAGAGCGTTAGCCCCGTAGCTGCGCTGGGCACTTTGTTGGCAAACCAAGAACCCCCTTCGTCTGCCTCATCTGGAGTAGCGGGCTCGATCTTAATGGGAGGAACGGCAGCCGTGCTGAACTCGGTTGGGGATACGAGCGCCGGGGTTGGTGGTCGAAGCAGACGGGGCACTAATCGCCAATCACTGCCCGTCCCTAGTCGCTGCTCCACCGGGCCCCTCAGACGACGCACCAGGACGAGTGAAAGCTCGATGGACGCTCGCGGCGAGGTCCTTGGATCGGTAACCGATGCGACGAATGCCGCCAGTGCTGCAGAAAATATTATCCATGAGTGAGTAGATTTACTTTCTGGTTACATGTGCTTGCCTTTAGATGTCATCGGATATTATTCCGATGTAAGAGCTTGCTTGACTTAATATGTAATGCAAAAGTGAGTCGATCTTAAACAGTGGTGAACTCTTTTAGCGAATAACATTTCCTATTATATACACAACAAAATGCCTTCAAGGGATGTTTACTAATACCAACTGTGTCAAGATCCTCTTGGGTGATTTTACACACTTAAAATGCATTACCATCTGAGGTTGTTTTGGACAACCCTAGTGCTTGGTAGTTGCCAGCGGTATATCGGAGGAAGTTGGTTTTTTTAGTGTCACATTTAATTATTCGACAAAGTAGCAATCCTAATAGAGCTCCCAGTAGAGAGGCTCAGGTCAAACGCTCGAATGGGGACATACATGCTTCATCTTTTGTAAGACTGATCATGGACTTCACAACGTCTGGCGATCTGTTTATAAAGAGGTGCATGAAGTGGAGTTAAAGTGCGACTGTATGAAAAAAACGTCCGTCCACGAACTCGGTGTTCTTGCTGATTCTCTTACTTTGCCTGTTAATATGACTACGAACATCAAACTGCCTTTAGGCCACCGCACGCGTCCACGCCAATGGTTTTCTCAGTTCGCGGCTTCCATCACACTCCGTCCTTTCAGGGATCACATCTTGATCTTTTTCTCTTGCAGGTGCAGCGTCTGTAACGGACTGCGAGACCAGCATCTTATGGTCATCTGTGAGACCTGTAAAAAAGCCTTTCACATCGCCTGTCTTGATCCTCCCCTCTCTCGGGTGCCAAAACAAAGCCGTCTCTTCTCCTGGTAAGAATTGCTTGCGAGCTTCCCTTCACCGTCAGCTTCTGTTTGGCATCATATACTTGTAGAGGCAAGTTTATTATACGTTGTAATTCATGAAGCACTGACGGAAACTTCTAAATATCCTCTAGAATACCCGGGTTAGAACTCAACAGCAAGGACGACAGAGAAAAATATCGAAGTATTCTAACTGCGTACATAAACGAAATGGAAACATGGGAATGTCCAAGGTCAGGACGAAATTCAACCAATCAACCAGTTTTTTGGTGGCTAATATGCCGGCTGGACTTCTGGCTGGGTCAACGTCCAACTCTGTCGGGAACTGGCATGGCAGTAAACGGACGACGTGTTGTGGGCGGATTGCTAGAGCGGCCTCCTAATAAGGATAAATGTAGACCACGTAAACTTCTTGGGCAGTATAAATTGGCCTATGGATGACTGACTTTCTTATTACTTATGCGATTATACCAACAGTTCTCATGATTGCAGAATCTTTGAAAATTGAAGTGTTTAAATTTTGAGACCGCAACCAGTGTTAAGAATGCCATACAACATTTCTGTTTTTGAGTCCTGAGTTATATCCCGGTTTTGGCCACATGCACTGGGGCATTTAGCAGCCTTTTCAGCGATTTCACGAATTTGTTTTACCTCCAACTTTATTCTTAGAATTCGGGAGCATGATCCTGGCAAATTATGGCCTTCTATATCTCAAATAGCATTACCTTATTCAACAAGGAAATTGATATCGTTTAAATCTTCAAAAATTAGAACTTCTGGCCTGGACCATCACGCCGCTATATGAACTCCAATAAGCGACCTCATCCGTCCCATGATCCTGGTGTCAAACCACACAACAGCTAGGCTTTTTAATGATTAATGAGCAAGACTTTCTGTTGGCGAAAACTACTCTCCCTTCAGCAAAGGGCAGTCAGCATACATCTTATTGGATACATAGGAGCAAGACTGAGATCTGCTCTACCTCCTTGTTCTTGCTCCGGTTAGCGGCACGGTGGGCCTAGACGACTCAAGCTTCGAAGGCTTGAATATTCACTAAAATTCGCGGAAATATTGTAAAAACGAGGTCCGCTACTTCACGCAACCTACGGATTGAATCCTAATCCGGAAGGTGATGGAGGTACGACCTCTGCACCCCAACGTTAGGTCAGAATGTAATATTGATTATCGTGCAGAATAATTCCTAGATATTTCGGTCAGCGCAACATGCCGACCTTTAAATACGTATTCTTCCGGCCGCATGCAGAAGTCGGTCTCAAAAAGTGAGTACTTATGTATTATGATTTTCTCCATTTATTCTCAATGCCTTTTACAAATCCTGACATATTTTAATAAAATACTGCAAGAGAGTACCCTATCTTATAGGCGATTTTTGATAGATTACGACTTCAAATTTTCTACTCCAAAAAGGGTGTCTTGTAGTTACAAAACATGTGTTTAATACCCAGGTACTTTTGAACCTGACCTACCATCACACTCGAGTTTGAGGTTATCAATCTACGAACCGTAAATTTCCCATTTAAGGAAAATCACAGATTTCCCTATGCCATCAAGATGCGTCTATATGGGGCTCATGGATATAGACCACGTTGTGTACTTAGTAAGAAACAGTAATAAACGGAATGATATGATTTCCTTAGGAAAGAAACTTCACTGTCTTAACAAATTTCACGACTAAAAACTTTTAAACCGAAAGATCTCGGTTCTTTGAATAAAATTTTGAAAGATGACGTAAGTTTTTACAAAATACATCAAAGAGGGGCTTTTTCTGCACGCCTACAAAATATGGCTAGATTTTCAAGGGCATATGCACTGTGGTGAACGCCGTAGTACTTAAGTAATTGGTCTTACTGAGTGTTTTTTCAGACGGCAGGAAAGACGCTTGTCCCAAAGCCGGCACCCTGGCGTGACTGAAATATCTTGGGATTATACTGTACGGCAATCAAACTTACGACCCCATCTAGTTAATTCCTTATAACAAGAGTCGTATTTCGGAATTTTAGTAAACGCTCCGAAAATTACGTCACTCATTATGCATTCCATCAGACAATTTGCTTGGTCGACGGTGGCGCACAAGAATAGATCCAAACTCTTCGTAAGACTAGCATTTTGACACGGATGTCCCTCTTCACTCGTCAGAATGCTCACGCGGTGCTCTGCGTGTGATGTCCACCATCGTTTTCCTTGTGTACCCCAGCAACCATAAGCATATGGTCAGTACTTTTTTTGGAATGAAGGAAAGTTGGCCATATGCAGATTGTTTTGCGCATGGCATAACCTTCTGCCAACATTTCATTCGTCAGAAGACTGATGCAGCCATTCGTCGTTGGTGGTAGTGGAGTGGTAGTTCAGTTCAGAAACACCATTTTTTTATAGAACTGGAGCGACCACCGCTTTACCTCTTTTACCACCTACTTGGATTGATATCTTAATCACTTTTACTGGAAAAATTCTAACAACATCAATGTTAACTTCCTTGTTTTGCTTTCAGGCAGTGTTCCACTTGCACTAAGGCCGTTGTGGGCAACTCCGAGGTGATCACTGTTGATGTTGACGCGCCAAGACAGTTGCGTCGCACTAGTGCCCCCGCGCCGTCCCATCCGACCCCAACCTCTCCCCCTTCAAATCCTACTCCGACTGCCTCGAAACCCAGTCGTCGGGGTCGCAAGCCAAAAGCAGCTGCTGACCCTTTGCCGACATGTCCAACCAGCTCAAGTCCCCGTCGTGACCAACCGGTGGTTGTAACAAACAAAGCACGTGACCGATTAAGGCCCGCCACAACAGTTTCTGTGATGGGCAAGCCCGGTCGAAGAGCTCGTAAACGTCCCAGAAAACCACCGGTCCGACGGGTAGTCGCTGAGGCCTACCCTGCGGAGATTGTCCCCTCCGTTGATCCTGCCGGCGCCAGCACTACTCTTTCAACTTTGCCCGTTTTGGCCTCATCCTCCTTTTCGGCTGCTGTCAATCACAATGGCGACGCACCTGAACCTAGCAGCCACTCGGAGCCAATTTTCCTAGGGTCTGCCAGTGCAGTTGTTACGTCCGCTAATCCTGAAGTCACTGTCCCAACTGCTGTCTCCCCAGCTGGCCGAAGGATGAAAAAGGTAGAGCAGCTCTTCTCATCCCGGAATGTCACGGTGTTGTGCTTGCATACGTTACCCTGATCCGTCTGCACTGATTCGACGTTTAAACACAGGTGGCAACATGTTGCCTGTTATAGGGTGCGGCCAATCACAAAAGTCCCAAGGATGTATATAAACCTGAACCAACTAAGTGTGACCATGATGTTTCGTAGATGTTTGTGCTCCGGTAACTGTTTTCCTGGATCTCCCTGGGTTCAGGCCAATCACTGTTATGCTAGTTGTCTCATGCCCCAATGATTTTTCAGCGCCGGTTCCCCTCCGAAACTGTGGAGCCTCCAGTAAGTGAAAACGATGACGATCGGGATGCTGCTGAAGAAGAGGGAGATGACGAAGAGGGTGAAGAAGAGGACGACGGGGCAGATGGCGATGAGGATGAGGATGAGGAGGAGGAGGAGGACGAGGCTGATGGAAATGAGGATGAGGAATTGGAAGATGACGATTCTGACGGCCTATCGAATTTACGCGGTTCTAAAGGTATTTCACGACCTTTCTAGATGAATGCTTTCCTCTACTTCGCTGCATTCTATTTATCACGTTGTGCACACCTCGCTAGGCATTCCAGGTCGTTGCCCTTGGCTTCACTTGCTTACTCGCTTATGTTTAGTGAAGTTTGTGCAGATTCGTGACCACGAGAGTCCAGTGAAGGAGACTCCGCCCGAGGGTGACGCCGCGGAACCAGCGCGTCAGTGTTACGTCATCTGTCAGGACAACTGCAGCACCCGCAAGGTGAGAAAGAGCGCCAAAAGTCACCCTCGAGTTGCTCACTAACCCGAGATGAGTACTCCCACTCTTGCCTCACCGATTATGCCTACCCTCACGTCCCCATCTCTCTTCAACTTACTCAAAATTTGCACGGTGTTGTCTTTTGCACACGACGCCCTCCTGGCCATTTGACATAACTCCAGACCTACGCCATGCCTCCTGTGTGCTCATCTTTGATTGCATTTCCTGCTACCGCTGCCTCTGCTGTTGCATCCTACCGTCTGTTTGAGTTAATTCTCCTGCACCAGGATGGGACATGCTAATCTTAGTCCTCCTGGCGCGGTCCGCTATCGAGCTTCACACGGCAGAAATCAGCTCTAGCCCACTCCATGTTGACTAGCAAAGTTAACCTGTCATTGGGTTTCCCCCTTTTCGCTCAGACTCTCGACTTAAACAGACAGGATCCGTTGATAATGCATCATTCAACTGTTTGCTGTGCTTAGTATTATCACTAGTGTACTAACTTCCCGCATTATCAGTAGTCCTTAGGTTTGTGGACTTTGTCAAAAGGGGTGACCTAAAAAATTCAAGAGCCAGTCTACCTCAGTATGCAAATAGCTGAAGACGATTACTTTTCGCCAGTGCATGGGAACACATCACGCCTAAGTCTCCAGGGTCACCGATTGAACATGGATCTTCTGTCGTTCGTTTTCAATTGGCGAACCAACTGACACTGAGGCGGACCGGGCCTCAAGTGTACTGCACTAACGTATTGCTCTGTTAGTTATTTAATTGGAACTCTGTGTTAGTTTTTGCAAGACCTCAAAGGACCGTAGGTCTCGTTAGAGCCCTTTGCTGTCAAACCATCAGCCTACGGCTTGCAGATGCTGAAGTAGTTTCTCGTAAGTATATGAGGAGAAGTCGCTCTAAAGAGCCAACGTTTTATTTCTCGGAGTTTTCGCACTCCCACTGGGGTTCATCTGTAGTTGTGGTACCCTTGGAGGACAGTCAATAGACCACAGATCCCCATATTCCCCAGTGTCCTCTTGGTGGCACGCGAACAGACGCAAATGAGCATTCTCTTCTTAAGGGTCATCAAATACAACTGTGCAGATGGACGCTCACATGAAGCCTGCTATTTCCATGATCAATTCGCGAGCACCAAGTACCCTCGAGTCTTTACACGCGGGTGTCTCTGTAATCGCTCACGTGAAACGCGGGGTGCGAACCACAAAAGCGATACCACTCACAGCTACATACCAAACGTTTTTATTGTACGCCAGGGCGTATCAACATGGAGGTGGGCTTCGATATCATCCAAGGGCTCTTGTGTGCAAGCGATTCGCCTGGATGAACGCAGGTGGACAAGTTTGGTGTTGCCTATTAGGTTTTATACAATAATTGACCCTGCAATTACACAGATCACACCACAAGAATCCCCCCAGGCAAGTACGCTAGTATTATCTGCCGGTATGGATTGGCGGTCCACTTTGTTCGGATTCAGTGGAGTGATGGAATGATCCGCCTCCTGTTTTTTTGCTGCTTTGCGACTGCATAGTGTGGTTCGGTTCTCGGACACGACCATGTGTCGCGATGCCAAAGTACCGTTTGTTTGTTGTTTTTTTACTGTGTCTGATGTTGGACTCCTGCATGACTGTGATGACCTGGGCCACCGAAAGTGTAATTACTGTTTTTGCACCTGATTTTAATACATGTCCTGCTGTACGCAGAGGACCCTCATCACTAAATCGTCAGTCAGCCTCCTGTCTCGGAAGACAAATGGTCTGTTCAGCGGTGTTCATAAGATTAATCAAACGCGGCAAATCTTTTCTTCCATGGCCACCCATTCCGAAGATCTTCCGGAATGCGCCGTACAGGACCTCCACAAACTCCATACTCGTGCTGACTGCGCTTACACTTTTATTACTTGACGTAGAAACTGCATTAGTTCCGGCTATCAGTTCACGTGATGTTTTTGATCCTATCTCAACTCGTCACGTCAACGAGCCCGCAGCTTTGTTTACATGTTCCTCCTCATACTTGCCTCCTTTTTTCGGGAAGATTCCGGCATGGGGACCATAAAATATAAGTCCGCATTCCCGGAATGTTGTCGAGAAGGAACCACCATTTCCCGGCCTACGTCTTCTGTCATTTTTTTCGACGGACTTGCGTTTTATCGATGGCATTGCGTCGGCGGTGGCGAGAATGTTGTCTAGCTGATGTGCAATAACATTATGATGTTTCGGGTTTTGTGGAGTCCTTTTTGCATTTTCAACATGTAAGATGATATTAAGGATTAAGGAAGGGCTCCCAAAGACGTGCTTACTCGACAGGAAGGCAGGAATGTTGGGAATTTATAAATACAGAGGGGGAAGGGGAGGGAAGTGTGCGGGTTTGCCGGCCTCTGTCGTCGACCAGATGGCTGTCAAACAATGAATTAAGACCTGTGCGATGTGTGTGGTGTCGTCATACCGCCTTAGAATTTGCCTCCGGACCGAAATCACGTTACGTATTTGCTTCTGACCTTAGGCGCACTATAAGGGCAAAGTGGTATCAGCAGTCCTGGAGGGTGCTGATGTGTGTTTCTAGAACGGCCCTACTGAATATATATATATATATATATATATATCAACTGAGTAGTCCCTAGTTTTCTTTCCTTTTTTTCGCCTTTCACACGCATCCTGAAAGTTTGCAGGGGGCCTTGATGACTTAGGGGAGAACGATAAGGGGTGGTGGCTGATTTTTATACACCGTCGCCTTGACTACCAACTCACTCCAAAATGTGTTGCCTGCGAACGACCTAAATCGAAGAAGTGGAAAATCTGCCTGTGTTCCAGCAGACTAGGGCTTGGTCAGCTTCTAAACTGGTAAGGGTATCTGTACCGTGTTGGGTCGGGACACTGGTGTCCAACTGTCGTTACTGGTACTCACCTATCATATGTATAATGAATAATTCCTTATGAAAATGCTCGAGAAGGACGTCTGAGACAAAAGATGGGGTTTCAGTTCAAATACTATACGGAGTAATGAGACAGTCATCGGAAAAAGTCCAGCCAGAATCGGTTGTTCCACGCCGTCAGCTTTCCTTGAAGGCAGATTTGCCTGTTTCATCAGTTCGACTGATTTTCGCCCCCTAAGACTTATTGGTGCATATATTTGGCACGGGTAGCCTGGTTAGTGAGCAAGAGGAAAGCATCACTGCTTAAAGACAATCCTCTGGCAGTGCTGTAATCGCCTTACCTAGTCGTAACACATTACTGACTATGCATAAAGTAAAAGAATCTCCCACCTAACGCCTTCACTGCATCAAATTTTTTAACATCTGAAATTTCTCCCATTCACGACAGATGACCTTATCATCAGGAGGAAGATAACCTATTATCAGTCACGTCTTTGTAATTCAACGTTAAGTGCGACTCCGGGTATTAACTGCTTATCTTCAGAAAAGCAACCTAAGCATTCAGAACTGTAAACTCAGCTGATATCTCCAGACTAAGCCAGGAATCCTAAGACAGTATGCATAAAAACTTGAGACAATTTTCCTGGCACGCAAATGGGGGATGGTACAGTCCCAAATCAGCGTTCCTCCCCCAGGGTCCATGCAACAGTTTGATTAGGGAGACATCCTGAACGCTAGTAACGACCACGGTATGTCCATCGATAGTACGCGACATTGACTGATCCCCAGCCCTGACCTGCGGGGCGATTTTCTGTAATAGTTCTTGGCCATTGCTCTTAGCTTGATGACAGTCTGTGAAGGGGGAGGAAGAGACACGGCGGGTTGATACGTCCTGAAGGGCAGGTCCGTAATTTTCTAACACTGGTGGAAGTCCGCAAACCCTTCCGACTTGCAACCACGCCAGAAAACTCTTTTTGAGATTGCTTGAGTTAGACGTGGCCTGTGCACATTCTCGACAGTAGGCAATCAGTGGCGCATACAGCGCCTCGGCTGGGCCTACATTCTGTCCTTGTTTTAAAGTTAGCAGTTACATAGGTGCCTGCTTTTATAGATAACAGACGAATTAGCTCACGGTCTGCTAAAACGTTGCAAGCAGTGATGCTTTGGTTTACTTATTTCAAAGTCTTGGTAAAGTGCGTAGGTCGCTTACCGGCCGTTTTAGGGCTGAGCGTTTTTTAGGGGAAATCGGTGGTATGTGTGCTCGACCACACAGCTCCCAACTCCTTATGTCTGCTTCACTCTTGCATGTACTCCTCCCTCTGGTGTCCTTGAACTGTCTGACAACGATTGCCTTCTCTGGCAAAATTTCCAGTTATCCAGGTAGGATCTGGGAATTCCAGTATATCTCGTTAAAGCGGATAGTAAGCATCGGAAGTGGACGAAGTCGTTGCATTGGGTGAGGGGTGATATTACTTAATCTGTGGCCACTGTCTGGACGATTCTATCGTCAAACTTGATCCGTTCAGAAACTTCGATCAATTCCGTGTATTTGTTTTCCTTTTGTGAGTCATCTGTTGATAGAATGAATAAAATTTGGGCAGTTTATAGCCTGATTTGGCTTCTACCACTTTTTAGTACGGAGGCAAAGAAAACTAAATCCTTCTGGATTGTTATTTTCTGGTCCCTATGTTTGGCTTCATTTAATCCTACGACCTTTTAATGGACTTTCATGGGGTTTCACTAAATCATTGAGCATCTTCTTTCCTTTGTTTAGAAATCTCCCACCGTGAACAACTTTAAAATGAAGATCAGGAAGGTCGAATGATTCGCCTGCCTTCTCCTGGAATGCGCTCAGACGATGACTAAATACAAACTTTCCACCATATATATGTAGTTACGCGTACTTTTTACCTGCACTTTCCCGTAAAATTGCATTTATATTCGATAAATGTCACTTCGGCTCATCATTACAGGATCAGATTTTGCGTCCTCTAAAACCCTACTTCACCTTTTACGGTTTTAGTCTGTTTTGCCCTCCCTACGCGAATGTGAGGCTTCTTCTAATGCTCAGAGTTCGTTAACCACTCCATTCTGTGCTGTAGATTTCCTAAAGAATTAACTGTAGCGGTCGGTGTTACCTACGAAGACTAGAGAGTTTAGGATAGCATTTTCTGGCGTAACATTGCCTACTTCTGGTTAACCAGTGTCCTCACTTGATTGACAGAATAACTAAACAAAGGGTCTATGAAATCAGTAACGGTGTTTCCGCAGAAGACTTTTGCAGTCGCATCCGGGGCAAACGTCAATGTTTCATTCACGAAGATATTGGTTCCGTCTGGCTAATCCAACTGAGCTCGGTACCGAGTCAGATTTCTTTTCCAGATCTTTATACCAGAATTTATTTCCGTCCCACCAAACCTTTTTTTAATCTTGAATTTTTCTATAATTTTTACGTTGAATGGGATCGAGCTGAGCCGTAAACAATTTCTCCCGTCAACTGATTTGCTAAGTTCTCAAACGCTTGCTTCGCCGATTTTCTGTTACTGTGGGACACAACTTCAAGGAATTTGGTCCCTCCGTGAGCGATCCGCCGTCACCAACGTGTATCATCCATAACAGTTCTAAAAGTACTGAATCGTCTTCTTTGCAGTTAAAAGTGTGCTGTAAACTTTTCTAGGACTGCGGACATGGTCGTGTTGAACACGGACAACAATCAACTTTAGTTTCCCTAGTGGGGTCGGCTCCCTCGGCAACGAGTCCAGGTGCTCGCAGACGACGTTGCACAGAGTAGGGTGTGCAATCCACTCAAACGACAATCGAATTTATTTTGTAGGACTGGATAAGCTGAAACCACATTTGGATTTATGAACGCCATAATCGTTTCTTTACTGACTGGCCAACTGGGTTTAATGATCAGGAAAAACGGCTGTTCGTTGTGGTTCACTGACAGTCCGCTGGCAGAAGTGGCCTGAACTATTCCCTCTCTGGAGAACCGAAGACTCACTACATCGTTTATTAGATGCACTGTCGGACATGAAGTCATGCCTGAGTTGACGCTGGCCTGTTTATTTGTTCTACGCATGGCAACGTCCTAGGGCTTGCGCACAACCCTCCTCTTATCAAGATGCAACCGAAAGTATGAGCAGACATACGGTAGCGTAGGGGTTACGATTCTCCCAGACTGTCAATCGATCACACCACTGATTCGGTGGAAGATGTTGTGATTCGCGTATGCATTCCCATGAGTCTCCTTTAACAAATGGCCCTAGATATATTTTCCTGTATAAACAGCAATCTTCAAAGAAGTTGTAAACATGAATCAGGCAAACGAATGAATTATTTATGGGGGCGTGGTAGGAAGAATAAGAAAACCTAAAATGTGAACTACGAAGATACGAACCGCCATATTTATAGCAAAAGGAAGTTCCCCAGAGTCATCCTTCCCATGCAGAGGTGCGATATGAGAAAGAATGGACAAAAGAACAACTGAGAGGCCTAGAGACCAGTAGGCCTGAAGGCAACGGCCAGCAGCTAAATAGGTTCGTCTACGCATGCCGTATACGACCTGTTCCCTTCTGCTTGTGTATAGGCTGAAATTAAAAGCGGGCGTTAAAGTCGCTTCTCTGAGAGGTATCGAAGGCCCCATCAAGAAGGACCCACTGCAGCCTGACCCTCAGTCTCGGAAAGGCCAGTGTTGCCTCTGATTATAATGTGGAATGCGTTGATGCGCCATGGGGGTAAATTCCTTTGTATTCCCTTAT